TTTGCCTTTTTTTTCTTTTTCTTCTTCTTCTTCTTCTTCTTCTTCTTTTAAAGCAAACCATCTACCATATGTTCTCCCCTGAAAGGGGTAATTGTTAACAGATCATTAAAACAGCGGGGCGAGCGCGCTGGGATTCCTTCCCTCCGTCCTGCGCTTTATCCCGTCTCTGTCACTCTTTCAATGGGGCTTTGAGGGCTCGGCTTTTCTAACTTCCTTCCCGGGAAAGGGGAAGAGAAAAAAAAAAAATGAAAGCACAACTGAAGTGACCCTCTTCACAGCTCTCCTCCTTTCTTTTCACCGTCTTTTTCGACACCCAACAATAATCGGGGCTGGAGGATGCTGCCGACTGCCGCGGCACCATCCAAAACCCGAGCGGCCAAAGCCCGAGACTGCTTCGCCCTTGCGCGCGTATCCAAGACAGGGGCCAAATCAACTCTTCTCCTTCCCGGCTCTGCCGAACCGGACGCAGACGAGGGCAGTGTTTTCTTCCCAAGTACGAAAATACACTGGGGCCAAGCCAATTTGCGGAAGCGCGACTGACCGAATTTGATTTTAACGAGTTAAAGATCAGCGTTGTTCACAGCATCACGGATGAAGGTTGCCACCTGCATCCCTCCCTCCCCCAGAAAAGGCATAAAGCAAGGAAGCAAAACCAAAGCAAGGTACTGGGCACTGAGCAGCTCCCACCTGCAGCGGGACACAAAGCTGAGGCCACCCCAGGAGCCGCCTGGACGCGACCACCGAGCGCCCGCACCTGCACGCCCAGCGCAGCTCTAAGGAAGCCTCCGAGATATGACAGGCCCACACCGCTAGAGGGGGAAGCTGTTCAGCAGTCCTCCTCCCAGCCCGAGCATCATCCCATCGCTACCCAGGTGCCGTTTGTTTGGGTTTGGGGGGAGGTTTTTTTTTGGTTTTGGGGTTTTTTTTTAGGTTGCTTAATGATGTGACTGTTTGCAGTGTGAAATACCTTTTATTTCCAGAGGGCGCCTGCCGGGCCCGGAGCCATCCCGAGCATAAAGGTCAGCATCCCTCCAGCCCAACCGTGCTGGGCGCACGGCCCAAAACGCCCTCGCGTTGCTCCCCCTCGCCCACAAGGCAGCAAATACATTGAAATCCCCAAAATCCGTGCGGAAACCAAGAGCAGGTGGAGGATGAACGGTAGGGAAGTTCACAGTTATAGGGGCACCGTAAAACACACACGGACCGAAACAAAACCAAGCCAACGACGGCCGGTCTGAGATTTCGCGGAGTTGCCTCAGTCCTTTAAACAGCAGGCAAGGCACATTGTTAGAAGCAGGTTACAGATGCATCTGTTAGGAGTGGTTCAGGCTTAGCTGCTCTCGCCAGGAAGGCGAGGACTGAATTAGATCAGTGCTCCTCACGCTTTCTAAAGCAAAGAAAGCACGTCAGCTTCCTGGAGGGAGCCCAGATGATCTTGGCAAGCGCGCCCACCGCGGTTTTCGCTTGCAGCCGGACGCACAAATCGGACTAACCCAACACTTCCAAGTTTAGGGCCTTCCCACGCTTGCGGCTCGATTTGCTTGCGCCGAGAGCAAACCGGGCGCCGTCCGGGCACCGGCCCGCCGGCGCGCCCAGACCGCCCG